CTCTGCCCTCCAAGCCATTTCCTGAGAGCTGAGCGAGGACTGGCTCCGAGGGGATTGTTCCCACATGTTCCCCTTGGATACAGCAGGGCCCGTCCCCCGGGAAGCTGCCTTGTGCAGGCACTGAGGGTGTGAAAGGCGCCGGCCCTCACGCTTGGGGGTTTCCCACTGCCCGGCTGTGCAGAGCCAGGCCCTGAGACCAATAGGGGCAGATCTCTCCCCCAACTGTGCTTTCTTGTTTGCAGTGGTAGCGTCTCGTGTCCCTGAGCCTCTTCTTGTCAAGCTCACCTGCCCCGACGACTGGGTCGGCTACCGAGGGAAATGTTACTATTTCTCTGAGGCCGAAGAGACTTGGGACTCCAGCCGGAGCCACTGCTCTGCCCTGGGCGCCTCCCTGGCTGGGATTGATACCCTCCAGGACCTGGTAAGAGACTGGGGGAAATAACATGTTTGGGGTTGGTTTGGTTGCCGGCAAGTCCAGTGTCCCAAGCACGGGAAGTAGGGGTGCAGGGTGCTGCAGCCCCTCCAGCTTTGCACCCAGGTCCCGCATATCCAGGAGCCGGCTCTGCTGCCACTCTGAGACCAGCTTCATCAGGCCTAGGTCCTGGGCTCCAGAGCTGATTAGGCCTCAGCTGGAGTATTGTGTCCAGTTCTGGGCACATTTCAGGAAAGATGGGGAGAAATTGGGGAGGGTCCAGAGAAGAGCAACAAGAATGATGAAAGGTCTAGAGCAGAGGTTCTCAAACTTGTAATACCGTGACCTCCCTCTCATTTGCTGCAACTTCCCTCTCAGTTGTTCGCGACCCCCCGGGGCCTTGGGACCCTCAGTTTGAGAAATGCTGGTTTGGAGAACATGAGCTATGAGGGAAGACTGAAAGAATTGGACTTGTTTAGTGTGGAAAGGAAAAGACAGAGAGGGGACATGAGACCAGCTTTCAAGCATCTAAAAGGGTGTCACAAAGAGGAGGTAGACAATTTGTTCTCCTTGATTTCTGAGGACAGGACAAGAAGCAATGGGCTTAAACTGCAGCAAGGGAGGTTGAGGTTGGACATCAGGAAACACTTCCAGCCTGTCAGGGTGGTGAAACACTGGAATAAGTTGCCTAGGTGGATTGTGGATTCTACAGCACTGGAGATATTTAAGAGCAGGTTGGACAGACACCTTAGCCTTACTGCAGCCTGCATCCCTTTGGTTCTCAAAATATGTTCTCACACCCCTTATTAAAAGTCATTGAAGTAAGTCCGTTCTTTAAACCTAAGATATATCATACAAATCTGGCATGTCTCGCACCCCCTGAAAGGGCATCTCGTATCATAAAAATCTGGCATGTCTCACACCCCCTGAAAGGGCATCTCGCGTGCACCCCAGGTTACGAACCACTGGTCTGGAAAGTGCTTGGTCCTGCCGTAAGGCAGGGGACTGGACTCGATGGCCTCTCAAGGTCCCTTCCGGTTCTAGTGTTCTATGATTCAATTAGACTATGGTGACTTGATTTACACCTTAACCTTTGTATGGGCAGATAGAGATGGGGAACGACCGTGTTTTGAGTGTATCAGCCACGTAAAAAAAACTGATTAAAAACACCTCTCGTTTCAGGTCAGACTGCAAATGAAACACTTTCAGTGAATAAAAAAAAGCTGAAAGTCATTCCAGGTCAAACAAAATGTTTCTTTTAGAGGCTGAGCATTTTAAAGCCATCTTTTATTAAAAAAAAAATCTCCTGTTGCAATTTTTTCATTTGAAATTTTCTTTTCATTTCAAAATCAATAACATTAAAAAAAAAACCACACACAAGAAATTTTGAAACAAAATGTTCACATCCCAAAAATTGCAACAGTTTATAGCAATGTAGTTTTAGGGCATCTTTTTGCATAATGGCAATTTGGTGAAATTGTCGCATTTGTCAAATGTTTCAGTGTCACCGATCAGCATTTTTCAATGTGGGGAAAAAAGTCCCTTCTGTATGAAAAACTTTGCAGAGCTCAGCCTCTGAGCTCTGCAGACCATTCTCTCTTTTCCCTATAAAACTGCTCTCTTCACGGAGCCTGATTCCACAGTTCCATGTAGCCTGCGGAGGGAGGTTTAGCAGGGATACATATTTGGGCGATGGGCCCCCTGGAAATGCTTCTAACCAGGCCAAATTAACACAACCTACTTCTTTTAAAGGTTTTCCTCATGCGTCATAAGGGACGTGATTACCACTGGATCGGCCTGCGGAGGGAAGACGAAGCCCAGCCCTGGAAGTGGGCGAATGGGACAGAATTCAACAACCTGTGAGTCCTGCTTTCTGTCTGGGAAGTCTCCATGTTAGTTCACCAGAGTTAATTTGCTCAATATGCGCTAAACATGCTCAGAACAACCAGACATTGTATTAAAGTAACAGAGTTCTGGCTTTTCACCTGTAACCCCGACTCGCCCAGGAGCGTCGGCAGCCAGGAATCGAACGGGGAACATATGGAGGTCAATGAGGGTTGCCAGATGACCCAGAAAATACCGGACACCCGGGCTGAGTCTGGGAGCCTGTTATTGAGCAGAAGCCTGGCGGGGGTGGGGCTTCTCCATGTCAGGCTTCCATCCGGTGCCCAGCCGGAAAAATCAGAGATTGTCTGATTTTTTTTTTACCGGGTGGAGGGCTCAAATACTGGACTGTCCAGTAGGATTCCAGACACCTGGCAACCCTAAGGTCAATGCACAAACTACATCTCCGTTAGCAGGGATGTAGTGGATTTGTGACTCTCTAGCTGGCCTAGTCACCGCTAGAAGAGGTGGCGGTTATACCTAGACTAAAGCCGGGGTGAGGAACCTGTGGCCTTGTCCTGAATCCTCCCCCACTTTCTTCTGGGGCTGCTCTGGAGGGCCAGCGCTCTGTTTTCTCCAGCGCCACTGTGGGGCAGCAAGGGGGCTGGAGCACCAGAGGGGGCTTCCCAATGCCTTTGGGGGGCAGATCTAGGCAAGCCAAGGACTGCTTCTTGCCCCCAGGCCTGGAGTTCCCCATTCTTGGACTAATGTAATACAGGCTGTTCTCTAGGCTGTTGTAATTGGAGCTCTAGTCATCACCACATGGTGCTGGGGGATTAGCTCTGTCCAGCAGTTCCATGGACCCTCTACTCCTCCTCAGCCATGGCCTGTTGCCTCCTAGATTCTGTGGCCTTGTCCTTATCCTCCCCCGCTTTCTTCTGGGGCTGTTAGCCCAAATTCCCTCCTCCCAGTGCCTGCAGACTACTCTGGCTCTATAGCCCTTCAAGTCACCTTTCTCCTGGGGAGCAACTCCAGCCGAATCCCCCGCAACCTCTTTCTGTCAGCCAGTAGCTTGGGCTGGCTCTGTTGGGCACCCACAGAGGGTATGTCTAGACTACCGCGTTTTGTCGATGGAAGTTTTGTCGACAGATACTGTCGACAAAACTTCCGTCGAGAAAGAGCGTCCAGACACATTGAGTTCCGTCGACAAAGCAAGCTGCTTTGTCGACAGAACCCCGTAGTCTGGACGCAACGTTACAGGCAATAACACCTTCTGTCAACAAAGTTCTGTCTACAGAAGGTGTTATGCCTCGTAAAATGAGGTATACCAGCGTCAACAAAACTG